CCCTGTGGAAAACACTATGGATGTCCCTCAAAACAAATAAAAATAGAACTACCATATGGTCCAATAATTCGCTGGTTATTTACCCAAAGAAAAGAAAAACACTAATTTGAAAAGACAGATGCACCCCTATGTTTACTGAAGCATTATTCACAATAGCCAAAATATGGAAGCACACTTATTGATTTTAATGTTCCTAACAACTGTTTTCTGGATAATTTTCTAACATAAAAATAAAAAATGAATACACATATATACTTTATTTTGTTTCATACTTCAGTGTTTTTACTTTTCAAGCTCTATAAGGTTTTTTTTTTAACTTTACATTTTGAGGTATTTTTAGACTTACTCAAAATTCTTTGACGCTGCAAAGATAAGTGTCTGATTTATCCTTCACCTAACATCCCCCAATGGCTACATCTTATATAGTTGTAACACAATATCAAAACGAGGAAACTGACACTGATACATTTACAGTTAATTGAACGACAAACCTTATTTGGTTTTTGACATTTTTTGTCCTACATTTGTGTGTGTATGTGCTTGTGTGTTTAGTTGTGTTCAGTTCTATTCAATTTTATCCTGGGTATATTTCTGTAACTATCACAACAATCAAGATACAGAACTGTTTCACATCCACAAAACAACTCCTTCTTGATACCTCCTTGTATTAATACCTCACCACCAAACCTATCTCTGTCTCCTGACAACCACTATTCTCCCTTTCCATTGCTTTGTAATTTCAAGAATGTTCCATAAGTAAAATCATACTATACTTAAGCTCTTGAGATTTTTTTTTCACTAAGCATAATTCTACTGAGGCCCATTCATGTTGTTGTGTATATCAACTGTCCATTTTTTTTTAAATTGCTGAGTAGTATTCCATTGTTGGTTGTACCAGATTTTGTTTAAGCATTCATCTACTGAAGGACATTAGATGGTTGCTTCATGTATTTTTCCATTATGAATAAAGCTGTTAGAAACATTCACATACAGGTTTTTGTGTAAATGTAAAATTTCATTCCTCTGGGATAAATGTCTAAGAGTGCAACTGCTAAGTTATAAAAGCCTGCCAGCCTATTTTCCAAAGGGACTTTACCATTTTTACATTCCCATCAGCAATGTATGAGAGATCCAATTTCTCCACATCCACACTAGCATTTGGTATTATCACTTTTTTATTTCAACTACTTTAATAAGTTTGTAGAGATATATAATTGCAGCTTTGATTTACATTTTCCTTAATGACTAATGAGTTTGAACATCCTTTTATGTTTCCAGTAGCCTTTTGAGAAAAAGCACATAGAAGATAAAATTTGGAAATTGTGTATGTCTGAAAATATGTTAATTCATATATCTTCAAAAGTTTGATGGTTTGTCTTGGCTATAAAATTCTAGATTAGAACTTTTTCTTCTGAATGCTTAAGGCTTCACTGTCTTCTCAATTCCAGTATTGATGTTGAAAAGTCCAAAGCCATTCTGGTTTCTAGTCCTTTATGTGTGACTCAATTTTTTCCTCTTGGAATCTTAAAGAATGTTTTGTTTGTACCAACTGCTCTAAAATTTATTCATGTGGGTCTATTTTCATCAATTCCTCTGAGTATTTAAATATAAATTTTTAAATTATTTTCTCCCCCTCTGTTCTTTCTCTTTTTCTGTAACTGCTGTTGAATCTCCTGAATTAGCCATTTTATAATCATTATTATTACTATTATATTTTATCTTCTATTTTCTATTACCTTGCTCTTTTTTTCTACACTCTGGTTAATTTTCTCTATTTAACATCCCAACTCTTCTACTGAGATTTTCTTTTTGGCTATCATTTTCATTTTCAGGAGATCTATTTGTTCTCTGTTTCCATTTTATAGTGTTCTCATTTCATGGATGCAATATTTCTTCCTACACTTCTGAGTGTATTAGTGGATTTTTGGTCAAGTTTTTTTCTCTTATATAGTCCCTATTTTTTTTTATTTCTGTTTCTATATTTCATGTTTCCTCACATTTCTAATAATTTTTGGTTGTCCACATGATAGAGGGAAATATGAGAAAATTTTATTGGAAGGTTGGAGCATACAGTGTTTGCCATCTGTGAGCTTCTCTGTTAGATAAACTTACTATGTCATTGATTTAAGAAACCCTACATTTCAGTATCCTTCATATCTTTCTAATTAAGGGCTTTAATTTATTTTTAGGTTCTGATATATTGTATGTTTTTACCTATGTGATGTTCTGGGGGATGATTTTATTTCCCCTTTAGTCCACGGTTAAAATAATAGCCTTCCCTCATATCTAATTACCCCTTCTGAAATATACCTGGGAGGGACACTGGGTTTTATCATCATTCATGGAATAAGATATTTATAATTTATTTTTTTTAATTTTTTTTAAAGATTTTATCTATTTATTTGACAGAGAGAGACAGCAAGAGAAGGAACACAAACAGGGGGAGCCTGAGAGGGAGAAGCAGGCTTCCCGCCGAGCAGGGAGCCCAATGCGGGGCTCGATCCCAGAACCCTGGGATCGTGACCTGAGCCGAAGGCAGACGATTAATGACTGAGCCACCCAGGTGCCCCAAGATATTTATAATTTGAAGAACAAGAGAAATCTAGAGGATCTGCAAGCCCCTAACCAGATGACATCCAGGCACACTAGTTGACTGCTACTGTCTAGAATATGACTATGGATCGATTAAAGGGGGGAGATTATGCAACACAGAGAAAAATAAGAAATTTAAAAACAGAATTAAGCTTCAACTGCAGGAAGAGAAGAGAAAGATAAAGTGCACAGAGGGCCTTTCTTGGAACTTTCTAGCAAGGAAATTAGGGAAGCTGTGAAAAGGAGAGGCCTGATCCCATTAACTATGAATCTGAGAACATGAATCACTTGGATCATTGTAACTTCCCTGGAATAACCAGCAATAAGAGGCTTGAAGTAAAGCTTGATTTGGGAACATTGAGGAATACAGGGTATTATACATTATTCCATAAACCACTTTAGAGCTAGATTAATTCCCATGAAAAGAGTAGATTTTGGCAGATTGGAAGATAAAAAGAAATCTAAAGATATGGGAAAAAGGAAAAGTAGTGCACAAATTTATCTTACCCATGTATCAGTGGGCCTAGATGCTTTATTAGCAGGAGGGCTATGGAGTTCCACAGCCACGCTGAAATGTAGAAATGAGGTAAAATAACTTCTGAACCAACTCAGTGTGACATTTCCAAAGTTCCTATAGCTAAGTTTACAAAAATACATTGAACATTTAGCTGATAAAGAACCAACCAAAATGAACTTTGGAAACAATGAAAAAATAAAACGAAGCATTTAGCCACTATGATTAAAATAGTAATAATAATAAAAAATGTTAATTGCTATTATTTTTGTAATTATAATTTATTTAGCATCCACTACATACCAAATACTTAATAATTCACTCACAATAAGGTAAACTTATACTTTATACCTATAAGGTAACAATTTTTATTCTCATTTTTAGATAAAAGATATAATATTTTAATAAGTTGGTAAGTTAATATGAATATATAAATTAATGTATCACTTAGTCAAGACCACATACCTAGTACATAAAAGGGTTTGGCATTAATTCTAAGCTTTGATGCTCCAAGGATTGAGTCTTTCAGAACTGCCTCTCCAGAATTAGCTTGCATGAATTGAAGCATAATAAAAACTTCAAGTACTCTTTCTACCATTTGTCTGATGGCTATTAAAACATTGTTCTAGTCATCATGCTTAGGGAAAAAGAGAAAGAGAAAGAGGAACTGGAAAAGGTTCAGAGGAAAGCTAAAACATGAGTAAATAAGGATGAAATGGTATTATAAAGTATATTGGAATAGAGTTTGCTTAACTCAGAGAACACTAACCCAATAGCAAAGGATTTTCATAAGGGAAGATCACCATTAGGATTCTACGTTCATGAAAAACTGAATGCTGGAAGGTAAGGTTGGTCCTTTAATATGTTCTAACTGTCAAGTGGCTAGAGGCTGTCTCATCAGGATTTTTTAATTTAGGAAGACCTGATCTTATTAGGAAACACCAGAGAATGACAAGGTAGAGTGTGTAAATGGATACAAGTTCTTCTCCTCCCTTCATCCATGTCCTTGCAATATGACAGTATAGATCTTCCCGTGAAGGTATGGAGTGTTTCCTTATCCTCGAATATGGGTTGTCTCTGCAATTTGCGTAGGTCAATGAGAGATTAGCATACATGATTCAGCAGAAGTTTAAAAAACATTTGTGAGTTGGAGAAGAACCAAGAGCCTACCAACTGCCAGATATGTGACTGAGGCCATGCTAAATCATCTAGCTTTGGCCACTCCACCAACTGACCACAGATGCAGAGAAAACTTGGCACACAAGAGCGGAGCTTGACCAGACCGGGAGAACCACCCACATGACCCACAGAATTCTGAGCAAAATCAAATGCTGGTTGTTTGAAGCCACTAAGTTTTGAGGTGGTTTGTTCACAGCTAAAGTTAATAAAATCAGGTGGCAAAAACAAAAGTGATAGGCTAAACAGACACTATGTCTACTTCAAGAAGTGGATTATTAATTAATTCTGAGGGCCTGAGAGCTTTTGTCCCCTACCTCCAGAAGACGGAGAACTAGAATAAGTATTCGCAATACTCCTTTATTTGGGAACTAAAATGTCTTCACAGATCATCTAGCCCAGCCTGATCAATGTACATATATGGAATCTGAAACCAAGAGAGGGGATGTGACTTGCCCAAGGTCACAGTGAGTTCCTGACTGAACTAGGACTACTGGGCAGGTCCTCTGACCTCCAGTCCTGGGTATTTTACTCACTAACCTTGAGATCTCGACCAATCCTGAGATTCCATGACTCTGTGACTCTATGGTTCTATAATTCCAAGACAAAGCACAACAATGCCAGTACTCCAGACAGCCTTGGTACAGAAGAAGAACATGGTCTAGACTTAAGTACCATCAAGAACATTTTTTCATTTCAAAATATCAACTGCACCATCATGGATTCAAACACTGCACACAATCCTGTGTTTCTGGTATTTCCCCCAGATATCAATGTTCCTGACTTGCAGTCAGCAGACCTTACAGCCACAACCTATGATACAAGCGGCCCTTTTCCAAAATTACTTGCTACAAAAATGAAAATCTTAGGGGTAAGTCAGATTTGCCACAATGTATATTCTACTGAGGGTGTGTTACGGACGGTTTGTGCTCCCCACAATTCATAGTTGAAACCATAATTCCAGTGTAATGGTGTTTGGAGGTGGGGCTTTCGGGGAGTAATTACTTCATGATGGTAAAGCCCTCATGAATGGGATTAGTGCCCTTTTAAGAAGAGGTCAGAGAGGTAGCTAGCTCTCTTTCCACCACGTGAAGTTACAAAAGAGAAGTTGGCGGTCTGCAACCCAGAAGGGGTCTACACCAGAACACAACCATGCTGGCACCCTGATCTCAAACTTTCAGCCTACAGAATCATGAGAAATAAATTCCTGTTTTTTATAAGCCACCCAGTCTATGAACCATGGGCTTAATCAACCACCCCCAGCAGGATGTTACAGATTCTATAACTTTGCAATAGAAACTGAACTAAGATAGGGGGTGGGGGAGAAGAAGAGGGAAAGAAATGTCTGGTGGCACAATGTTTCAAGGTAGGAGCTAATTCCAACTTTTATTTCCATCCAGTTCAGGAAGTATATGTCACATTTCTAAACCAATTATGTAAAAGGTTCTATGGAGAGGAAGATATAAAATGAATAAGCCAAAATCCCTGGGCTCTTGAAGACTGCAGTTAAAGTAAAAATCTCCAAACTCACTACCTAGGAGTTTTTTCATAGTTAAGTTCAGAGAAAAGAAAGAGAAAATCAGGTAGACGTCAATAGATCAGATTTTATATCCTGGGTTACTGAGTTCGACAGTTTTACATTTTCCCAATCAAGACTCAGAATTCAGTTTCACAATATTGTATGGTATTTTTATATGTGGGGCTTTTGCAGAAAATCCCCTTAATACTGTAAATGCTCATCTCTCCACCCACTTATCCATTTCATGACTATTAATTATTTTTTATTTACCAATCTCCTTTCAGAAAATGTGATTCAGTATGTTTAAGGCTGTGATAGTGTCTATATCTTATAAAATATTTGTCATTTCAACCCCAAGACTTCCAGAGTGGAAAATAGAAAGAAATTGACTTTTTTCCCCCAGGAAAAAAAAACAAAGTAGAGAAAAATGGCCCACTGACATGCAGAAAAGGGCCATCAGTCTAAACTGCTTTAACATCTATTCAAATATAATGGTACTGAAACTTCTGCTAAAGCGTTCAAATTACTTTAACAAATATGGAATGAACTATGTGCAAAAAACTATGTTAGACACTATGGGGTTACAGAAATAAATACAACCTAGTTTCTCTCATTGAGGAGAGAATACACAATTTAGAAAGAAAAAATTAACAATATTAAATACCACGTTTCACAGTAGCATCTAATAAGAGCCATAAATGGTTGGGTGTGAGAGGCAGGGGAACCCAGAGAGGGAACAGTTACTTCTATCTAAAAGCAATGGGACAACATTATGGCAATTCTGGCATTTAGTCTGAACACTAAAGAAGTGATGGAATTTTAATAAGTAGATATGAAAGGGGAGGAGGAGAGCAGAATATTCTAGATAGAGAAAGCACCATGAACAAAGAACTCATGGTAGCATAGTTTGGGAATGACGAAAGAGCTGGGAGGAAGCACATTAGACCCGAAATATTTAAGGGGATTAAAAGACAAACAAAAAAAAAGAAATAAGAAAAATCAGGATCGATAAATACACTGCAGTACGTCCATACAAGGGAATGTTATTCAGTGCTCAAAATAAATAAACCATCATGCCATGAAGATACATGAAGGAAACTAAAATATGCATTTCTAAGTGAAAGAAGCCAGCCCGTAAAGACAACAAACTATATCATTCCAACTATGTGACATTCTGGAAAAGCCAAAAAATGGAGACAGAAAGATCAGTGGTTGCCAAGGGTTGGAGCAGAGAGGGAGGGATGAATAGGTGGAGGACAGAGGATATTTAGAGCAGGAAAACTATTCTGCACAATACTATAATCGTGGATACATGTCATTACACATTTGTCAAAACCCACAGAATGTACAACAGCAACAGCGAAGCCTAATGTAAACTATGGATTCTGGCTGCCAATGATGTGTCAGTGTCGGTTCAATTGTAACAAATATACCACATTGATACGGGATATTGATAGTGGGGGAAGCAATAGGGGAGGGAAACAGGAAATAGATGGGAACTTTGTACTTTTCACTCAATTTTGCTGTTAACCTAAAACTGCTTTTAAAAAATAAAGCCTAGGCACGCCTGAGTGGCTCATTTGGTTAAGCCTTGGCCTTCAGCTCAGGTCATGATCCCAGCGTCCTGGGATCCAGCCCCGCATCGTGCTCCCTGCTTAGTGGGGAGCCTGCTTCTCCCTCTCCCTCTGCAGCTCCCCCTGTTTGTGCTCTCTCTCTCTGTCAAATAAATAAATAAAATCTTTAAAAAATAAAAAATAAAAATAAAGCCTATTAATTTAAATAAAATGGTAAGTATGTACTGTAAATTTTGTTATAGATATTTTACCAACATTTTTTTAAAATGTGAAAAATAATATTTTGGGGAGAAAAGGAAACAAGCAGAAGGTAATTTGGAGACCTAATTGCCAAGAATCTTATACCCATCCCTACTTAGACTTTACAATATTGACAAGTAGTTTCCAATCTGTGAAATCAACAAATCACCTAAGGAGCTTTATAAAGTGTGTATACCAAGTCCCCAGGCCTTGTTCCAGAACTACCGAATATCAATTTTGAGGGAGTGGGGGGGGGTTGAAATCTGTATTTTGTAAACACTTCTCTGAATTTGATGACCACCAGATTTGGGAGCTTTGTTTCAAACAAATTGAGAAGAGTAACCAGATTGGTTCTGTTTTGCGATCTTACTTCAGCACTGACAGAACACTAGAATAGAGAAAAAGGAAGCTGGTGCAGAAAAGCCAGGTAGAAAACAATTTTAATAGTTTAGATGAATGGATAGTGGCTATTGAGTTGAACTTACTCAAATGGACTTGGACTTGAGGAAAAGGATATCCTTCACAATTCACCTACTTAAAGGTCATAGTTGCTATGGGAGTGAAAGAAAGGACTCAGAGAAGGCAGATGGAGAGTAAGAGGGCAGAGAACAAACACTCACACATGGTACACCTTCCATTCTTTACGTCATTCTCACCAATCTTCCCTAGCAATCGTCAAACCACTGCTTTACTTTTTTTTCATTATTTGTTTTATTTTTAATTTTTTGAGGAATCTCCATACTGTTTTCCATAGTGATACATCCCTACCAACAGGGCACCACATCCTCACCAGCATCTGCTATCTTGTCTTTTTGATGTTAGCCATTTTAACAGATGCGAGGTCCTATCACTTTGTGGTTTTGATTTTCATTTCCCCGCTGCTTGGAGAGTTTGACATGGTCTAACCTGGAGATTCTATTCAGTAAGTATAGGATATAGGATATAGGGCCTGAGAGTCTGCATCTCTAATTCTCAGGCGATCCTAATGTTGCCAATCCATGGGCTACATTTTCCAGAGCACTGATTTAGATCATTTTACCTGTTACCAAATATCAGATAAAGGGATCAAGAAAACACCTGGGAGCATCATAAGGGGTTTCTACTATCCTTCCCCTATTTATAAAAGAAGGTAATCACCAAATCCTTTTAACCAAAAGAAGATCAGGTATATTTTTGGAAAGGAAACCTACCATTTTGCTTTTTCCTTACCATGACTTTTTACTCTATTTATAGGCTATGCAGATCCTGTTTGGAGTGATGAACTTTTCTTTTGGAGTTGTTTTCCTTTTCACCCTTGAAAATCCATACCCACGGTTCCCCTTTATATTTGTTTCAGGATATCCATTCTGGAGCTCAGTTTTGGTGAGTATAGTCAATTGAGTTCAATTTGAAGCCATGACAACAGGGATACTAGGGAATTCTTAATTCCCTTAAAATGAGCTGCATTCAGTTGTAGGATATGCTTTGTAAAGATAAAATAAAAATCAACTTTATTGAAATTATTTCCCCATTAATTCATCAGAGTTGCTGACATTCCATCTTTGGGTCCTGAAGTTCCTTTGGGAATATGTCCTTGGGTCTTGATGTCATTTGTCCATTCATTCATTCAAAATGAGTTGCTATCCATTATAAGCCAGATACATAGTGGAAGGCAATGAGGATCGAAAGGTTAACAATACATGGACCCTCACTATGAAAGACAGTATGAAGTTTCCTCAAAAAATTAAAAATAAAATGACCATATATGATCTAGCAATTCCACTTCTGGGAATATATCCAAAGGAAATGAAAACCCTATGTCACAAATACATCTGCAGCTCCATGTCCATAGCATTAGTCACAGAAATCAAGACATGTAAACAACCTAAGTGTCCATCAACAGATGAATGGATGATAAAGAAGTGTGTATATATATATACAGGCCATAAAAAAACAAGGAAATCCTGCCACTTGCAACAACATGGTTAGACCATAAGGGCATTATGTTAAGTGAAATAAGTCAGACAGGGAAAGACAAATACTGCATGATCTCACTGATATTTAGAACTTCAAAAAATTCATAGATAAAGAGCTCAGATTTAAGGTTACCAGGGGCAGAGAGTGAGGAGAGAGATCCCGGGATGGAGGGTGGTGGTCAAAAGGTACAAGCTTCCAGTAATAAGATAAATAAGTACTAGGGATACAACGTATAACAGGATGATTTCAATTAACACTTGTATGATATACATGAAATTTTTTAAGAGAATCTCATCACAAAGAAAAATACTATTTTTCTCCTCTTTTTCTTTTTCCTTTTTTTTTGGTGGGGGGTTGTATCTATATGAAATAATTGACGTGAAGTAAAATTATTATAATCATTTCACAATATATATAAGTCAAATCATTATGCACATGCCCTAAACTTATACAGTACTGTATGTTAATTACATCTCAATAAAACTGGGGGAAAAATAAACAAAAATAATAATACATGAGCCCTTCCTTCAAAGGGCTCTCAGTTTAGCAAGAAAGAAAACATGTAAAGAGGTCATTTCAAGGTAATGTGATAAATGATATCACAGTGCTTGTGTAAGGAGAGATGAAAGATCAGTTTACTCCTTAGAAAAGTAAAGAAACAGGGAAAGCTTCTTAGATGTACCTTTGAGCTACACAGAGGCATTTACATAATTACATTCAATAAACATTATTTTAGCACCTAGTTTAGTGCCAGAGAATGGATGGTGTGTGGGAATTCAGGAAAAACGCAGTTCTTGGTCTCAAGGTCTCTCAAATAGAGAGTCAGATCATCACCATATGGTGTCATGAGTGGTGACAGACATAGGAACTGCTTCTATAGGAAAGGTACCTACAAAAAGGAGGGGAAGACACCCAGAGACACTCCAGCTTGGCTGAGTTTTAAAGGATGGGTGGTTAATCAGGATGAGAGCACCTAGAGAGGAATGGTGGAAGGAATGGTAGAGAGTGGGGAATGGTTGGGCATAAGGGCTAGGGATATCTTGCTGCATGCCAAGGGAGAACCATGAACAAAAGGCTCAAGGTATGGGAGAACACTTTCTATCCTGTAAGAGTGAGGGTGAAGAGATGAGGCTGAAGAAATACAAGGCAGTGGGACTGGAAACTTAAAAATGCATGTGCTGTAGTCCGATTTGGAGTTTCTACTAGATGATGCTCCTACATATGACTCACCTCCATGAAAATTCTTGGGATTTTTTTTCAGAATTCCCAGCACATTAGCTGGCAGAACATGCTGGATTGCAAATGGGTATGAAGGATGTGTCTTATAAGAATGACAGAATCTGATTTTATTGGTTGTGAACTGATTTGACACCAGTGTGGCATGATATCAAAGCTCATTCCACAATAGCTATAAGAGGAAGGTAGATGAGAAAACTAAAGCCCAGTGAAGCTAAAAGAAAAAAAAAAAAAAACAAAAAAAACTCATGTTCAAATAGATAGTTAAGGCTAAAGCTAATTTCTAGTTCAGGATTTTGTCCACTACTCATTTGTGGACTACCTTATCAGGCATCTCACCCTGCTCACTGCTCTGAGGATCGTGTGAATTAGGAAGGAAGACATGTGAATGAAACACATAGAAGTCTATTCTCTGAGAACTCTTTAACATCAGTTAAGCAAGCCCATCACTAAAATATTTATTCTTTTTAATAGTTCATTAATTCTGGAGCCTTCCTAGTTGCATTGGAAAGAAAAACCACAGAAATTCTGGTGAGTTACATCTTACCATTCACTAAAAATTTATAACTTTGAAATAATGATTTTAACCTTGAAAGTGAATTTGGAAAATCATTAACCCACTATAATTCCACAAACTGTCAAGTACTGATACCAACCAATGTCACTGGTCTTTTGTCCATAGAATCATAAAACAGTAGTGCCAGAAGAGTTTTCTAGGTCATCCAGTTTCTTATTTTATATATGAAAACACTGAGGCATAGAATAAAAGCCAAGTTCCTAAACAAAATGGTAAAATGGGTCTCAGCATTCCAGTAACTCATTCATTCATTCTTTCTGTCATGCCAGACACTTTGAAAGGCACTAGTTTGACTCACAGGATAGGCACACTGTGAAGACAACCTAATTAAAAAATAAATAAATAAAATAAAATAAACCTTATAAGCAGAAGTTCAAAATAAGTAATACAGTGTTAATGAATGCAAAAGTCTAACTTACAGATAAATTATAAGTATAATATTTTTACTTTTCTCAAAGAATCAAAAATGTGAGATATTAATTAACAAGCCAATAAATTATTTCCAACACAGGACTTCTCCTGTAGGTTTGAAGTTTTAGGAAGGAATAAAAATTGCAAAGAAATACAATGTTTAGTTAAAAAGAGCCATAAAACAAAAATGCAAGTAGGTCATGACTTTTATCAGAGCATCAAAGTGCAGGGCAATGTGGCTATGCCTAAGTATCCCTTTTGTCCAGTGTGCACCCGTCCCCCCCAACTAAATGGGAGTTAACTTATTAGGTACAGACTGTGGGGGATAGAAGGGTTATTAAAAGTTCACTGGATTCCCTCATTCTCTAGCTGAGTGCCTGAAGCCCAAAGGGATGAAGTGTCTCATATATGATCACACAGCTGCTTTGTGGCATTGCAATGCTGTGACTAAAACTCTCCCTCCAGTCTCCCCCACCACTGCTTTTTGTCTGTAGACTCAGTGTTATGGTCTTTCATCTCTTTCAGGTGAAGTTAAGCCGAATAATGAATTCTCTTAGTGCCCTGGCAGCAACAGCTGGAATCATTCTCCTCACATTTGGTCTCATTCTAGATCAACACTTCTTTTGTGGCTATGCTGAAACAATTAGTCAGTGTCAGGCCATTGCTACCCTATTCATTGTAAGTATACTGCATTTTTATGGCTAGGAGTAATGGGTGTAATCATAAAGATTGATTAGCATCTAATCAGCAAAATCCAAATAATGTTGTGGACACATGTATTTTCTTTTATTTACAAACATTTATAGAAATCATAATATCTGATAGGTTACACCAGGCATTGTGGAATAGAAAATAAACACATTATAACCCCCAACTTGAGGAATTCACAGATGAGTAGAGAAGATAAAGCATATATACCAATGAGTATAATATAAAAGGTAGAGTGATATAGGAAGAAAAATGCAGGTATAGCAGTATGGTAGTGATTCATAGTCCCAGATATATATTAGAATCTTAAGTGGAATATTTTTATGGTTTTGGTTTTGGCTTTAATATTCAGACTGGACTTCTGATAAAACATGGTATATATTGAAAACAGGCATTTATTTCTGCTTTTTCCAAAATACCACTATTATTAGTTTAAGGGAATGGAAAAGATGTAAATCTACATGGAGAGAAAAATTAGTCAACAAGACCCGTCAAAATTTGTCAAGAAAGCTGGAAAGTAATCAGTCACCTAAGGAAAAGGGAGTCTTCATAGAAGTAAAATATCACAGTTGCAAGAGTAAATCTCTTTCCTCATCTTTTTCCTGTACTTAGAAGGAAAACATCTTGTCTTTCACCATTAAGTATGATGTCGGCTGAGGGTTTTTTAGATGGATTTGATCAAGCTGAAGAAGTTTCTTCTCTTCCTAGTTTGCTGAACATATTTACCATGTGTGTTGAATTTAGTGAAATGCTTTTTCTGTATCAACTGAGATGATCATGTGGTTTTTGTCCTTTATTCTATTGTTATGGTGCATTGCAGTGATTGACTTTTTTATCTTTTTTTTATTATGTTATATTAATCACCATACAGTACATTATTAGTTTTTCTTAATTTTATTATGTTATGTTAATCACCATACATTACATCATTAGTTTTTGATGTAATGTTCCATGATTTATTGTTTGCATATAACACCCAGTGCTCCATGCAATATGTGCCCTCCTTAATACCCATCACTTTTTTATCTTAAATAAAAATAAATTTATCCTGGGATAAATCCCACTCAGTCATGCTGTATAATTCTTTTTAAATGTTGTTGGATTCAATTTTCTGATACTTTGTTAAAGATTTTTACATCTTTATTTATAAGGGATCTTGGCCTATACTCATCTTTTCTTGTGATGTCTTTGGTTTTTGTGTCTGGTTAATACTGGCATTATAGAATGAGTTGGAAAATACTGCTTCCGTTTATACTTTCTGGTAAATTTTGAGAAAAATTATGTTGAATTTTCCATAAACATCTGGAAGACTTCACTGGTAAAGTCTCCTAGGTCTGGGCTTTTTTTTTTTTTTTTTTTTTTGTGGGAAGTTTTCTTAAATTACCTGTTATCAGTTTATTTAGATTTCCTATTCCTTCTTGGATCAGTTTCAGGGGTTTGTCCCTTATTGTCAGCATGAGTGAATGAAGGAACATGACAATACTGATTTTCAAAAAAGGCTGTCTTGTTAGTGCTGTGTTAGCAGAGTTGTCTACCAATAATCTAGAACCTTGAATTAGCATAGAGGAGATAAAATAGCCAAGAGTATAAGCCCATCACCATCAATGGCATCAGTCATTTTGAGGGAGGGTAGTTTTGTTCCAGTCACCTTGAGTGGAAGCAGTCTAGTCCCTAATTCTGAGGAGCTTGGGCCACCTGTGTATTAGCTGTCCTATCTTTTAGACCATTTGCTTTTGTAAAGTTTCTGGAGGATTATAGCTTAACGTCTATAATAAGTGCAGTAGTGGTGGTGGTGGTGATTTTAGTAAGATCTTATCCAACAAGGCTCAAGTGTACTCTTTCCCTGATGATATTTCCAAAATAACCAGTCACCTGCCTAAGGTCACAAAGAATGATTAATTAGATGGCTGGCAAGGAAAAGTAGTCCACATCTGTTAGTGGAAAAAACTGACAAATTTATTATATAATCAGAGTTATCAGAATGAAAGTCAAATCATTCACTGAGATATAATACAGAATTAATTTCTGAGAATTTAGTCAATGATTACCAGGAAGTAAGAAGAAAATAGGGATAGTGAAGGCCTTGGAAAATCCACCCCTGCCTGCTGACTCAAGAAATCAGCAGCCTCCGACAGGTGGAATATGTGAAGAAGAGTCTCTCCTACAGCCAATTTCCTACATATAGATAAGACTAGAGAAGGTTCTTAAAAGATTTTAATGAGTAATCCGAGATAATTGGTCCTAGAAAGGATATTGGTCAAAGAGACATGTTACTTATTAGTGCTGGTGGCTGGCTAACAAGACATAACTCTTTCCCTAGGATTTATTCTTATAGATACACAAAAATATAGATAAGAGGCAGATAGACAGACAGGATGGTTAGTGGCAAAGCTTTGGCAGACCATCTTTTTCTTCACCCCTACCCCACCAAGGGAAAAGAAAACAAGAACAGATGTGAAGGGATAATGAAAAAGTCGTGGGAAACCTGACTCCCAGGACAAATAAAATAAACCCTACCCAATAAAGTGCTAGATCGCCTCATCAACATAGATGTGCAAACCCTGGACAGGGTTGCTCACAGACAGCCAGTGGAATAGCCACTAAGTGAGTCAAAGGACCAGAACCGTAATAGTGAGGGGTCTGACAAGACCTCTCTGGGGTCTCTGTGACTGTCTAGCACCTTCAAAGACCACCAGGAAAATCAATGACAGTTAAAAGCTGAATTTATTAAATTTGCTAATCAAGGGAGAGCATGGGTCTCAGACACAATAGGGGGAAACAGAAAAGGGCATTTATAGGATTTCATCAGCTGGAGGAGTCATAAGGTAATTTTAGGGGAGAGTAACAGTAGTCTGGAAAGGAACTGGTTAGATTTGCAAACTAGACCAGTTGTAGAGACAGCCACTGGTCTAATATTTGGAAAACATGAATTCACATGGAATTACCATTAAAACATCTCTCTGTGGCCCTATTTTGAACATAAAGCTCTGAGACATCTTATGTTAAAATCTTGAACTTAGATATTTGGTCTTGTATATCATGCTTTGATACTTTATCAATTTGCTGAGTCAAAGTACAGTTATTTTTCAAATCATGGTTTTGTTTCATTATCAATTCTCAGTAATCTTAACTAAAACAAAAACTAAAAACTATGAAAATTACCAAAAAGAAAAAGTAGAAGGAACTGGACTGATACCTAACTTCTCAAAAGCAACAATAAAAGCCAAAAGACTGAACAATATCTTCAGTATTCTGAAAAAAATAACTGTCAACCAATAACCTATCACTCACTACCCATTACTGTGATATACATACATACATACATACATAATGGAATATTACTCAACCATAAAAAAGAATGAAATCTTGTCATTTGCAATGACGTGGCGGAAGCTAGAGTGTGCTATGCTAAGTGAAATAAGTCAAAGAAAGACAAATACCATATGATTTCACTCATATGTGGAGTGTAAGGAACAAAACAGATGAACAAAGGGGGGGTAAATAAAGAGAGAGTCAATCTAGGAAAGAGACTCCTAACTATAGAGAAAAAACTGATGGTTGCTGGAAGGAGGTGGGCAGGGATGAGCTAGGTGTGTGATGGGCATTAAGGAGGGCACTTGTGATGAGCACTGGGTGTTATATGTAAGTGATGAATCACTGAATTCTACTACTGAAACCAATATTACACTATATGTTAACTAACTAGAATTTAAATAAAAACTTGAAACAGAAAAAGGAGAAGAAAAAAATCTTACAAGAATGAAGTGAAATGAAGAATTTTTAGAGATACAGAATAATTGAGCTTGCCTCCTGCAGACCAGAATTAAAGGAATAAAGAATGAACTCCAAATAGAAAGAAAACGGTAGCACAATGAGATGCAAGAAGGAATGAAGAACAAAGAATGTGATAAACGTGTGGACAAATACAAGTGAATACTGCTTGTGTAATGCAGTAATAATAATATATATTGAGATTAAAAATAAAGTATTTAAAATACCAGGCAGCATTAACATATAAGTAGAGAAGGGAGCAAATGGTGTTTTTGTTAGTTGTGTTTGCTAAGGACCTGAGTTTTCTCTGAGAAGAGCATGAAGGTTTGAAGAACTTTTAGACTTTGATATGTTTGAACACCTAATGGTATCATCAAAAGTAAAAAACTAGAACTAATAGATATATTTAGTCTATTATATCCAACAACAAAGAATACACAATTTTGTAACACATACCAACAAAAGATGACTATATATTGGTAAATATGACAATTCCAGATTAATACCAAAGGTTGAAGTAGGACCTAGTGTATGACCTATGCAATAAAACAATAAGCAATGATAAAAATAATTTTAACCTGTGTGGCTGGATATTAAGCAGTAGGTTTCAAAGTAATTATTGGATCAGGAAAGAAATCATAATATGAATCCAAAGATGTTCTGAAATGAAAGCTCAAAAACTTGAGGGCGAAGGTAAAGCAATACTTTTAAGGCAATTCATAGTTTGGAAATGTAGATACTATAAAATATGAAACTTTGAAAAATAATGGCCCAAATATTAATCTCAGGGATTAAAGGAGAGAAAATTAGTCCAAAGAAAGAAGAAGAAAGGAATTAATATATAATGACAAGAGAAGAAATTAGTGAAAACAAAACAAAACAAAAATCATGCACACATCAGAAAGGATCAAACAGCCAATGATTGGTTTACTGAAAATACTAGTAAAGTATACAGATCCTTTTTTTCTGGTTATGACAGAGTAATTTATATCAGAGCATCTCTCTAGTGAAAACCATTTTTATTAAGAGCTTATTAAAATAACAAAAAACTTCCAAATGTTTGAATATACATGAAAGAAACCATGGCAGCCAGGATTTAAAGTACAAGGATCCTGTGAGATTTGTACACGTTGAATGAACTAAACCCAAAATTCTCCATCACTTTTCTCCACAAGTTATTTGCTGACACCTAAGATGTGTAGG